GTGCATGGTTTAGGCATGCAGTGTAACGGACACTGGCGGCTGGGAACGGGCGAAGAACGGTCGAGGCTCGGTGTGCTATGTTGTACGCGTTGGGATCAGGTGCGATCAGGTACAACATAAGGAAATAGTAATTTCCCTGCGTTATTCAACCTATCCCATGTTATGTTTTTTTAACGTGTGATGTGTAAATGGTTTTTGTATAAGGGTATATTAAGATACAAAAGGTGTAATCACATACGAAATCTGCAGAAGAAGGTGAATCCAAACTCGGGTCATTCCTCTCGCCCATCAGCCGTTGCCATGATGATACAGCGCGCAGCTGAGCGTCAAGCCAAGATGGAAACAGCTGATGCACGAGATGTTTTGCAATGCTAGATAATGCTGTCCGAAACCCTTACTGTGACGCTTTAGAACTAAACGTCGCCAGGGGTCAAGGAGCTGGAGATGATGTGCAGCGCAAAGTGTTTGGTGACGTAGAAGTTGGGAAAGACGACCACCACGGGAAGAATGTCCGAGCCGCCCTTCAGAATCACGGAGGGCAAGAGCTTTCCGGACAGCTTGGTGACCTTTCCGCCCTCGTATGTTGGGAACTTGGTGAAGCGCGCGGCGTTGCGGAGCTTTCTCTTGCCGAACACGCCCTTCAGCATGTGGTAACGCGCCACACTCCTGCGCTCACCCGCGGAGAAGCGCCACCAGTTGCGCACCACTTTGAGCGGGTTGATCGGCTGAAGAACCGTCACAGGCGTTGACTTTGAGGTTCCATTCACTCGCTTAACCGTCCGGACTGCCAACGCATTCGGAAACAGCACGTGGTGGGAAATTAATTAGCTGTCAGTAACGCGTTTCTGAATAACGTGACGGCATACGGGCAAGGGAATTTGAGACTTGATTTCGCGCAGTACTTACAAAACCTCTCAAGAATCGGGGCCGACTTGGCGTAAGGAGACGCTCGGAGGGTTGAGAGCGCTTTGTCCACATCCTCGGAGCTGATGCTTACAGTGTCGTCAAGAATGGCTCCTTCCACGGCGACAGCGACAGCCAGGAGGGCGGCGACGAGTATAATTTGAGCAGAGCTCCCCATGTCGTTAACCAGGAGGAATTTGGGCTGAAATGAAGCTGCGGGCCTGATACTGACGTTTTCTTGTAGTAAAAGTTTTAGCTGTACGGTAGTGGAGGGGAATGGGCGTTTCAAAAGTTGAAAGCTTGTGGTTGAATCACTGGAATCAAGCAGCATTTGAACTGGATTTCAAAGCGCATCTCAGAATTTCAGCGACCGAATGTAGGAATGCGGCTCGGGCACTACTAGCGTTGAATGCCCACATGTTCAAGCGATAGATCAGGCAACGACCCTTGTAGAAGAGCTGACTGGCTGACGCCGTATGCGAAAGACGTGAGCGAAATCCTAAGCACAGTGCGACTTGATGGTGCTTCGCAAACGGTGATGTTTGTTTTCTGCTCCACAGAAGCCTACCTAGAAACCCACCTCAAATCACCGACCAATCCATTCGGAGAATGTGACTGGTCAAATTTGCGCTGTTGTGTGTTCATCAGCTAGCTATAATCTTTTCCCAGAAACAACCATTCTGCAATTTTGAGAAACCCCACATAGTTGAAAAACAAGCAAAGTTTGCCACATGAGAAAGGAAGCACGAAAAATACGCTAAGCTTTCACAAAACATAAACCACGATTACTCCTATGAAAACACAAGCTTATTTCAAACCACCCACCCCACTATCGTACTAACATCCAATTCTCAAATCTCTCTTTCAGCACAATAAGCTAGTCCTTGGCTTCCGTTGGGCCTGCCTTGCGGGGGCTGTTGTCGGCGGGCTTGTTGCGCTTGCCAGTGATGCGATCACCGAGGTTCTTAAAAAAGTTCTTGATCGCATTTGCCGTCCTCTTCAGAACCCCTGGCTTCTTCACTTCCTTCTTTTCCTCGTTCTTGTTCTCTTCATTGTCGTCAGCCAGCTTGCGCGGAAGCTCAATCCCTTCTTCCTCATCCTGAAGCTTCCTGGACATCAAAATCTCGTCAACCTCGTCATCCTCCTCCTCGTCAACGTCATCCATTCCACCGGCCTCCTCACCCACTGCCTCCACTTCCGCCAGCACCCTGCCATCGTCCTCGTCCACCTCGTCCTCGACCACCTCCTCTCCCTCAGCAAGCATCCTTCCCTCCTCGCTCTCCTCGCCCTCGTCGCTCGCCTCGTTTTCATCCACCCAGTCTCCCTCAGCCAGCATGCGTCTCTCCTCCTCCTCACCCTCCTCCGCCATCTCCCCCTGCATCTCTTCCGCCGCGCTCTCCCCCTCCTCCGCCAGGCTCCTGCCTTCCGCACGCTCCTCAGCGTCCGCCTCCCGCTGCGCCTCGTCGTCCCCCCAGCCGGCGTCTCCCAGCGCCCACCCGTCCTCCATCTCGTCCGCCGCATCTTCCTTCTCCGCGAGGCTCCTGCCACCATTCTCCTCCTCATCCTCTCCCCATTCGGACTCCTCTTCTGCCTCGTCCTCTTCAAACGCGATGCGAGGCCCGGACGCTGACGAGTCCGACTCCACAGGGGCATTGGAATCAGCCTGAGGGGTGGCACTGGGGACTGCCAGCTCCTTGATGTCCTCACTGGAGCTTTGCTTCTCCCCAACGGGCTTAGCCGAAGGGGCGCCCTCTGTCGAAGAAGCCTCGTCAGTGCGTTTCGCGATGGACGGCTTGGGCGACTCCACGCTTGCCGGCATCTCGTCGAAATTGGTGAGGCTCGGCCCGTACGTGTTAGACGGAGTCCACTTAGCGGGGATGATCTTGTCCAGGACGACCTTCTGCCCCGTTTTGTCGGTGGTCACGCGGACACTGATGGGCTTTCCCGACCGCGCAATATCCTTATGGTGCAGCAGCTGCCACGTGGTGGTGCGGCGCTCCCTCTTCAGCGCCGTCCACTTGCTGCCGTCGACCGACACCTCAACAAGGCGCACAGCACCGGGGCCCTTAGTGCCGAGAAGCTGCAGGCGGAAGCGGTTCTTGTTGGACCCCGTGCGCACGCGCACGACCATCCCGCTGGGGCTCTTGCAGTTGGTGCGCTTGAATTTGACCTGTACGCCGCGCCCGTCGCGCGAGCTGGCGATGCGGTCCCACGCCTGGGTGGAGAGCACGGGGCCGCGGTGCAGCGTGAACCATCCGACGGATCCCACCACGCGCACCGTCACCGTCGCGTTGTCCTCCTTGCAGCTGTCGCCGCCCGCGCACTCCACGGCGTAGCACGTGCCGCACGTGTCGCCTTTCTTGTACAGGTTGCTGGGCAGCAGCGCGGTGAGCCCGTTGGAGAAGTAAGGCGCGTCGGAGAAGTATCCGCACGATTGCGCCAGGTTGTTCACGCGCGGGCTGGACTTGGCGCGCAGTTGCCCGGCGGGGAGCTTCTTGCCGGCCACGAGGTTCTTAAGCGCGTCGAAAGAGAAGTCGGGGAAGGTGGGCGCGGAGAAGAAGGTCGCGGTAACCGGCGCGGCGAGCAGAGGCAGCAGAGTGGCGAGGAAGAGCAGAAGCAGCGGCGAGGTCACGCGCGCGCCTCCAAGGCGGGCCATGGTGGCGGGAGGTTTGCGGCTGAACGGGGTCAGCGGGTGGGGCTGGAGCTGCTGGTTGCACGTCGGGACAGGTTGGTTAGCTCGATCACGTGTCTGGTTTGAAACTGCTGGAAATGCTGCAATTCAAACGCTGGAAGATTACTATCTTCAAGAAAACTGTCCGTGGTGAAGGAAACGAACAGGCGATGCTTTTTCGAAGCGTGTAGGACTTCCTTTTATGGTTGTGGATCGGGGCGATGGTGGTGAGCTTGCCTAGCTTGAGAATGAAGCGGCTACGGCCTGAAAGGGCCGGGAGTTGCGGAGAGAGCGAGTGTGTAGTAGCGGGACAGCCGCGGAATGCGTTGCCGCGATAATTGTCAGGTCTGCCGTGGAAGTAATGGAGAAATGACATGGAGCAAGTCTCTGACAGGGTGAGATAGAGACTCCGCGATGCTGAATCTGGAACATCGTAGAGCCGCTCGTATGTGTGTTGTTGGCGAGGTGAGCGCGTTGTGCTTTGGAAGACGGTGACGGGGCGCACAATTATATGATTTCAGCGTGCATTTGGTATGGAATGAAACCAAGCACAACTACTCGCGAAGATCGTCAGGGTAACACTCCCTTTTCGCTCCTACCGACCAATCACCCCAAATGAATGCTGCATGGCGATTGCGAGCAGAAAAGTGTTACAAAGTGGCAGAAACAAGGTCGAGGCGAGTGTCGCGATATGGTAACGGACTACTGTTAGGTGTACAATGGCGGAGATAATACTTTACGCGTTATGCGGTGTGACGCTAAGAATGGAAACGTTTTCTCCTTAGAATAACAAACATTCACCTAACATATCATCAACGTTCAAGTTCGGTTGGTTTGGTGCATGTTTGTTTTGTGTGAATTCTGCGCGGGAACGCTACACTTTTGCCGCCCGCCGAAATGAGTCTTCTGACTGAACTGAACCAGCCCGCGCATTGTTGCGGTGGGTGGGTGCTGCACTGCAAGGCAAGAAGGGAATGCAAACTCTCATGCGGTTCGTCAATCACTCGGATGGGGTCCTTCGGCACACGTCACATTGCCAGGTTTGATCGTGCGCAGGTTCGTATTTTTTGAAGAGCTGAAAACGGTTCTGTAGGTTTTGGATGCAAAACTCCTGGTACAGTACGGTGGTCGATATTGGGCAATCAATCGTCGTTTGTGACTTACTCGAACTTCTTCAGTTACCAGGAATTTCGAGATTGTGAGAGATAGATGCGACACACAACACACATAGCTCATGCATTGAAGGCTTGATTGAAGGGAGCAGAAAGAGTTCAGGAGCTCGTGAATAGGGCAGGGAACACCCGTCTTAGTGTACCCTGCGTCTTCTCAGGGAAGCCAACGCGATGGCAGCGACATATAGACTCGAGTCTTCAATTTTCGTAATAGTCCTTTTAAACTGCCTCCTAGGGTGCGCGGCGCAGTCGCCATGGAGTTGCGACATCTCGCAGGGCAAGTGGGTGGCGGACAGCGCGCTACCGCTCTACACGGGCAGCTCGTGTCCCTACATCCGCACATCGCAGAACTGCCTCAAGCAGGGCCGCCCGGACATGTCGTTCCAAAAGTTCCGCTGGCAGGTGCGTCCGTCCGTCAACTAGTGTAACTACTACTAGTGTCTTGGTATCCCTCATCTCACCACCTCGCGCACGTTCATGCTTTCTCCTCTCGCCTGCCCGCGGTGCTCCCCTCGCCCCCCTCCAGCCCAAGGGGTGCTCTGTGAAGCGCGTGTCGCCGCGGAGCTTGGCGGAGCTGCTCCGCGGCAAGCTGGTGGTGGTGTTCGGCGACTCGCTCTCCAAGAACTTCGCCGCGTCGCTGCAGTGCATGCTGTACGCCGCCGACTCTGCCGCCGCTAAGTCGTACCGTCTGGCGCAAAACAAAAGTGCCGAGTGGGGCGTCGAGGTACGTGCGGGAGACGTTGAGACGCTGAACGCTTGAAAGACACAGCCAACTATACACTCGCTGCCACGTTGCGTTGCGTCTCCCATGTTGCCATTGCGCACACCTCCCCATCTGATTCTGGCATTCGTCCGCCATATCATTCTCTCTGTGGTCCGCCTTGTGGCCCGGCGTGTCGGCCGGCGTGTGAGTGCGCAGTTCCCGACGTACAAGATCCGGTTCGTGTCCGTCTTCTCCAACTGGCTCAACAATGCCTCCAGCCTGCCCGATAAGAACGGCATCGAGCAGCACCGCATCGACTTGGACGGCCTGGATCAGCGCATCAAGGACGTGCTGCCCATCGCTGACATCGTCATTTTCCAGGTACGTCCGCGCCCGGCCCTCGCATTTCCTCCCAACTACACTTCCGCGAACAACCCCGCTTCCGTCCCCAACCTCGCATCCGCGCTTGCCGTCGCGTCATCCCGCACAGCTCCGCTTGGCACAACACACAGCGTAGGAATGAGAGCCCACAGCGGGCCTTCTTCGAACTTCCATTCCGCTTCTCTCTTCCCCCGGCGCATCGCCCCCCGTGCTGTGTGCGCGGCGCAGGCGACGGCGTGGTGGTTGCCGCCCATCAACCGGTGGTACGTGGGCGGCGCGGAGGTGACGATGAAGGCAACGGCAGCGTACGAGCGCGGACTGACGACGCTGCGGGACTACGTGGCGGACAGCAGCCGCCGCAGCAGCGGCAAGTTCAAGGGGCGCGCGGTGGTGATGGGCGTGTCGCCGTCGCACTACAACCTGCCCGTGAGGGGCGTGAAGAAGGGCAAGTGCAACGTCACCTCCATGCTCACCAGCGCGCAGGTGCGGGGGGGGAGCTCAGGGGGGAAGCGTTGGAGGGGGAGCGCAGGTGGGTGGGGAAAGAGTAGTAGACGGGAGGGGGGAGCGTGAATCGGAGGAGGAAGCACGGGTGGGAGGGGAATAGCTTGAGCAATGGGGAAGTGAAGGTGGGAGAGGGGGAAGTGAAGGTGGGAGAGGGGGAAGCAAAGGTGGGAGAAAGACAGAACAGAGGGAAAGGGAGGGATAAGAAAGCCTTTTTTTTTACAAGAAAGAAGTTCCATAGAGAGTTTTCGTTATTTCCCACGACACATTTTTGTTCACCTCCATTCCCGACGTCTCTGCCTTGCCTCCATTCCAACCTGCCTCCCCAGACGGCGACTGTTCGAGATGGAGACGGCGCAACGAGTGAGCTGCGGGCCATCCAGCAGCGTGTGCTGGGGGGGTCAGCGGTGGCATACGTGGATGTGAAGCCCATGAGCGACTGGCGCCCCGACGCACACATTCAAAACTGGAGCGTCAAAGGTAAAATGAACACGAATTTGTAATGCTTAGCGGAGAGCTTTGCTGGCTGGCTGCCTTATTGAAGGAATCTATTGTATGTGGGACATGTTTTGTGACTTCCGTGTGTGACCCCCCGTTTTGCCACAGGTGGAGCACCAGATACAAAGAAGAATGACTGCCTTCATTGGTGTGAAGGAGGAGTTACTGATGCATGGGTGGAAATGCTCTTCAACAAGCTGCGATAAATGTTCTTCAAGAAGCTGCAATAAATGTTCTTCAACAATCTGCAATAAATGCTCTTCAATAAGCTCCAATAAATGCTCTTCAACGAAATAAGTAGTAGTTCTAATTGTGAAGTTATTTGGTCCTAGAAACATACCGTCATCACCCAGATATACCCCCAGGTGGGGGTGTAAAAAAACATGGGAAAATGGTGGGTGGGCTTATAATGTGGTAAATTTTATAACCCCATGGGGTAAATAAATGGCATTTATAAAATTTAGTGTAAGGGCCATGAAAATGTACAGAATGCCTTAGCGGTTTCATTAGCGGGGTGGGCACAGTCGGTCACGTGGTCGAAACTTCGAGAAAATGGCCATGAGGGCAAAATTTGGTGCCAACGCATCCAGTCTGGCCCACGTCTGGCCAATCGCCTTTACAGGCGGCGAATGCTGAGGCCAGCGGGTGCTGGATTGAGGTGTGCGGCGGGTTCAGGTGTCCCTGTTCAGTGAATCTCTGCCAACGAGGCAGGGTTTGTGAAAGGGCGGTCGAATAGGACGGGAATGCAAGAGATTTCCGTCCTTCCATGCCTCCCTGTTTGACACCTGGTTCCTCTGCGAGGACCAGGTCGATGCCCGTGTGTTACTGATGAGGAACCCGGGCCGCCTTTCTCGCAGGGGTCTTGAGGGAGTAGCCAGAATCCTCCTCATTTCATTATTTCAAAGCCTTCATGCTTCCTCCGCCACCCGTCCCATAGCCTACGCCATGGCAGGATTACCTGCCTCGGCGTTTCTTTTCAGAAGACCTCCAACACCTGGTGTTTGCCGTGGCCGCCACGCTGACCCATGGCAGCGCCCATGTCCTCCTGCTCCTCCTGCTCCCCCAGCGCCGCCAGCCCCGCCAGCGCCACCAGCCCCGCCGGCGCCACCTGCTCCTCCCTCTCCCCCTTTTCCAGCCGTGTTTATGCAAGGTCAGCCCATACTAACCGTGCTCTTACCAGATGCTGCCCCAGCCCACCACGCGAGCGAGCCAACCGGTGCCGACAACACCTCTGAGACTGCTGAGACTGGAGGCTTTGCAGAAAACCAAGAGGTCCCGCACCCGGAGCGTGTATGGAGAGACGACGACGACTGGCCAGAACCTGAAGAGGGCGACGACGATGGCGTGGAATACTGGTCACGTGACGGTCTCCCTGAACACCTCCCCATCCCCTCGTTTCCCCCTCCTAACCGTAAACGCCCTCATCCCTCACGTTCGAATCGAGATGCCCGTTCCCCCTCCCCCATAAGCAAGGTTACCACACGTAAACGGCATTCGTACACCGCCGGCGAGAAGCTGAAGTGGGTTGACCGCCTCGAAGCCACCCACAACGTCAGCGAAGTGTCGCGCGAATCCGGAATTTCCAGGCGTTCGATAGCCGAATGGGTCTCACAACGCAAAGCGCTGGAGGCTGCCGCGAGGTGTCGGAGACGTCTTCACGGGCACGGACGATCCTCCTGGTACCCTGACATGGAGACGCAGGTGTATACACGGCTCCTGGCGGCACGCGCGAAGGGCGTGGCTGTGTCTGTGGGGAGGCTTCAGCAGTGGTCCCACGAATCCATGAAGGAGCTGCATCCCGACATGACGTGGAAGGGGTCAAACCGGTGGACGAAGCGCTGTCGTCGGCGGTGGAACCTTTCGGTTCGAGCTAAAACGAAAGTCGGGCAGAAACTTTCCGATCGTGAGTACCCTCCGTTGAATGTCTTCGCCTGCCGATTCCGATTACCGTAACACAAATTCACCAACTCTGCTTAACGTTGTTCTGTGTTGTGTGCTTCTGCAGAGTGCGAGGTTCAGATTCGAAATTTCTGGAAGTTCGTCCGTCACACCCGTCGAAACTACGACATCGAACCGCGCTACATAATCAACGCGGATCATACACCCTTGTGGCTTGAGATGCCTGCTGAAACAACACTCGAAGAGGTCGGTGCGCGGTCCGTGCCGGTTCGGAGCGCCGGATACTAGAAGGAGAGAGTGACGGTTATGTTAGCGTGCACGGCTTAAGAGAAATTGAAGCCGTGGGTTTTCTTTAAGAGAGAGCGCCCACCGCGGGGCGACTTCCCACCTGGTAAGTTGTAGCGAGTCTGAATATTAATATGCACCCTGCCTTGTGCTTAGCTGCCCTTTTTCTTGTCTGCACTGTCCCTCGGCAGATGTTGTAGTCGCCGCGCAACCGAAGGGGTGGATGGACGCTGACGGCGTTGTCAAATGGCTCGACGAGGCGCTGCGTCCATACACCAGGCCGGCCTTCGGTCGACGGGCACGTTGGACGCTTCTCATCCTTGACTCCTATTGCGGACACCTGACCGATGCGGTCAGGCAGAAGTACTCTGAGCTCGGCATCGTCCCCGCCGTGATCCCTGCTGGCTGCGCGTCTGAGGTGCAGCCACTCGACGTGTCTGTAAACCGCGCGTTCAAGGCCTCCGTGCGACAACAGTACCAGGCATGGTTCGAAAGCGAGGGCATCGAAACCCGCACTGCCAAAAGTACGTGTCGCGAGGGCGGATGTGTCGCGTTGGCCATGTGTCGTTGGGTTTATTTGCTCTGCTAACCATGAATGCCCTGTTTGCGCGCAGGCAACCTCAAGAAGCCCCCACCAGAGCAGACGCTCAAGTGGATCGCGAGGGCATGGCGAGCAGTGCCTGCAGCTCTCATCCAAAAAGCGTTTCTCACGTGTGGCATCAGTAACGCCTTTGACGGTTCCCATGACAACCTGTGCATGCAGCACCGCCGGAACGGCGAACCCGTGTCTGTCGACGTCGATGACGAAGTGGCCGCGGACGGCTTCTTCGGAAACAACGTGGAGGAGCCCGAGTCCGATGGGGAGGATGGTGAGGCGGAGGATTTGGATGACCCCACCGCCGACCGCTACCACTAGACGTCTAGAAATAAGATTAGGGCCAAGATACCGTAGCTAGGCATCTAAAAATGACTAGGATAGAAATTGTGTAGGTTCTGTTTAGTTACTAATATAGAGATTAATGCCAAAATGACCATTTCAGTGTGTTTTGGGGGGTGGGCTTATCCTAGGCACAAGGGGGTGGGCTTATCCTAAGATGAGCCAAAAAAAAAGGGTGCGGTTATAATCGGCACCTGTCTATAACCCCACTAGTCCGATTATAACCGCATGAGTGTAACATAGGCCTGGGGGTATATCCGGGTGATGACGGTATTGAAAACAAATGGTGTTATGACAAACCAGTTTCTGCCTTCAGTGATGAAGTAAGGGCGTATCCAACTTCGGGTCATCAGCACTGTTCATTCAACTGTTTGGGGCATCCGCAAATCACGCATGCGCCGAACTCAACACCAGAACCGTGTCAAACTTATATGCTATAGTCTTTCTAGGCTGTAGTGGGGTAGACAGTATGGGGTACAGCTTTCTAGGGTTTCATATTTGTACCCAACTCATTTCCTAGTTCATCATTCATTCCTCATTTCTTCACATGGTATAGAGCAGGTTCCCTAGTGGGAACTGTTCCTAGGGCCCACCACTGAAAATCGATTAAATTTTTTTTTTCTGCCCGGAGAGCGAGTCGCTCCTGACCGAGGCGCGCCCTGTGTGCCGTCCTCCCCTTAGCGGCCCGTCGCGCCCTCTCACGGCCCCTCTCGCGGCCCCGTCGCCGCCCTTAGCGGCCCCTCGCGGCCCCACCCTACACGGCCCCGTCGCCGCCCTCTCGCGGCACCGTCACCGCCCTCTAGCGGCCCCGTCGCCGCCCTCAGCGGCCCCGTCGCCGCCCTCAGCAGCCCCGTCGCCGCCCTCTAGCGGCCCCTTCGCAGCCCGCAGCGGCCCCGTCGCCGCCCTCAGCGGCCCCGTCGCCGCCCTTGCGGCCCCGCCGCCGCTCTTGCGGCCCCGTCGCCGCCCTCTCGCGGCCCCGTCGTCGCCCTCAGCGGCCCCGTCGCCGCCCTCTCGCGGCCCCGTCGCCGCCCTCTAGCGGCCCCGTCGCCGCCCGCAGTGGCCCCGTCGCCGCCCTTGCGGCCCCGTCGCCGCCCTTGTGGCCCCGTCGCCGCCCTTGCGGCCCCGTCGCCGCCCTCTCGCGGCCCCGTCGCTGCCCTCTCGCGGCCCCGTCGCCGCCCTCTCGCGGCCCCGTCGCCGCTCTCTCGCGGCCCCGTCGCCGCCCTCTCGCGGCCCTCCTGCCGCCCTCTTGCGGCCGCCGCTGAGCCGCCGAGCTGCTGAGCCGCCGACCCGCCGAGCCGCCGCCGCCGCTGTCGAGCCGCCGCCGCCGTCGAGCTGCCGCCGTCGACACGCCGCCGTAGAGCCGCCGCTGTCGAGCCGCCGCCGCCGCCGAGCCGCCTTCGAGCCGCCGCCGCCGCCGTCGAGCCGCCGCTGCCGCCGAGCCGCTGCTGCCGCTGTCGAGCCGCTGACGCCGCAGTTCCGGCCCTGTTCCTGCCGGCGCGCCCCGGCCCTACCCACCCGGACTGGTGAGAGCACTTCCGAGCAGCGCCTTTGCCACTGCGCTGCCCCTAGCCTACTGCTCTCACTGCTAGACTACTGCTGTCATGGCTACCCCCAGTGTCCTTACCTTTGATGCTGAGGGTCGGGCTGTTGACTTTGAGGTCTGGGTCGATGACCTGCAGCTTTTCCTACAGTGCGATAGGACAGACTGACTCTCCCTGTTCGATCTCACCTCTGGTGCCTCTCCTGCCCCTCCTGCCGATGCTGACAGCACTGTTCGCTCACAGTGGGCCACACGCGATGCTGCTGCCCGTCTTGCTGTGCGTCGCCACTTACCGACCGCTGAGCGTGCGCATTTTAGTCAGTACAAGAGTGCTAAGACCTTGTACGACGCTGTAGTTGCACGCTACTCTTCCCCTGCCACTGCTGCCCTTAGCCGCCTCATGCTGCCGTACCTGTTCCCTGACCTCGCCGCCTTTCCCACAGTCGCTGACCTCATTACGCACCTTCGCACTAGTGACACCCGCTACCGCGCTGCGCTTCCTGCTGAGTTCTGCGCCAAGAACCCCCCCCCCCCCCCATGTACAT